TTTGTAGCAAAATAGTTTTATTTGTTTTAATTTAAAAGGTTTTAGCAGTGTTTTTTGTAGTTTGTAGCCCGTATTTTTTGGGTTGTATTAGAGTTTTTTTAGCAAAGGTTTTTTTAAATTGTATTTGTGGTGCAGTAGTTTTATTTGTTTTTTATTTGTAGTTGTTACAGTAGGTTATTAGTTGGGAAAGGTTTGTTTTTTTTCCAATAGTTTTTTTTTAGTTGTTTTTAGTGTTTGTTTCAAATTTGTTTTATTGTTTTTTAGCAGTAGTTGTATTTGGTATTAGTAGTTTTTAAACCCGTTGTTTTATTAGGGTATTAGAGTTGTAGCAGTGTTTATTTGTTTTTTAATTTGTTGGTTTTAGCAGTAGTTTTTTATTTTTGTTTTTAGTAGGGTAGCAAATAGTTTTTTTTAGTTGTATTAGTAGTGTTTGCCCGAGTTTTATAGTTGTATTAGTAGTTTTTAGGCCTTTGTTTTTTAGTTTAATTAGTTTTTTGGTTTTTGCAGTTTTTGTTTTAGTTTTAGGGCCCTTTTGTTTTTGGTACCAAAAAACTTTTTTATTTTTTATGTATGTTTTTTTTTTATTTTTTTTACTTAATTTTTATTAAACATTAGAAAAAGTAGTTTGCCCTAAATTTCTTTTGGGATAGTTTTATATTAGACAGTTTTGTTGCCATATTTTTTAATTTTTTTGTATAGTTATTATTTTTAGGGAAATAGGGTTGGGCCCAAATTTTTAGGGTTTTAAGTATTGTTTGTTGTTAGTTTTTTATTTGGACACTCTTTGGGAAAAAGAGATTGATTTCCCTTCCAGAGATTTATTCCCCCCAAAAAAATTTAAATTTAAAAAAAAAATTTTAGGGGGGCTTTTTTTCCCCTCTGGGGTGAAGTTTACCCAAGGAAAGATCGAGGATCAACTTTTCCCCCCCCAATTTTTAACCTTTTCCATTTTGTTGGGGGAAAGTAAAAAACTGACCCCAGATCGTTGTCTTGGGGAACTTCACCCCTTTTCACCTGTTTTTCCCTGACCTTTCCTCTCCCCTTTAAAGCCCCCCCGGCCCGGGGCCCCCCAGTGGAACGTCTTTTTTGGGAAACCCAAATGTCCAAAAAGACCCCCGGGAACCCGGGTGGAGGGGAAACCCGGGGCCCAGGCCCCCAGCAGCAGCTACTGAAACCCCTAACTCTGCCCGACTCCAAACTGAGCCCCTAAAATCGCCCGGTTTAACTCTGCGCCTCAAATCTGAAACCGGGGAAAACTAACCACAGGGGCCCCCCGAGATTTCCCGACAAAACAGGGGGGCTTTCACTCACAAGGAGCAGACGGGGGCGGGTTTCAGAGGACCTTGTTTTTTTCCCGAGTTTTCCCCCTCTGGGGGCCCAAGGGGGAGGGGGGTTTAAACACTTTGGGGGGTTTTAGGAATGACCCAAGCGTCCCCTCCGCAGGGAAAATTTTTCCTCCAAATCCCCCCAAAAAAACCCAAAAGGCCCTTCCTTTCCCCCTCTTTTTCCCCCCCCCTTCACCTCCCCCTCCCTCTTCCCCCTTCCCCCCCCCCCCCGAGGGGGACCCCCCTCAAGCTGCGGGAGAGCCCCTCCCCCTTTTTTTCGACGAAAACGGACAGGACTGCCACCACAATCCCTGGGGGGCCCCCTCCCGCTACTCGGAGCCCGTCTATTGTTTCCCCTGGGGCCCCCTCCACCCCCACCACCGGCACCCCCCAGCACCCCGCATCACCCCCAGCCCCGCCAAAAAACCCCGCCCCTAAAGAAAATATGAAAAAGACGCTGAGGGTATGAGGGTTTACGGGCGGCGCCAAAGGGCCGGTGGGGGTTTTGGCCCCGTTGAACCCCGCCCCCTGCATGGGCTACACGGGGGTGGGTTTAAAACAAGGGGCTGGAGGTTTGGCCCAAAAATGTTTTCAGTGGGGAAAAAAAGAAGCTGAGAAAAGGCCCGACGTTGGGGAGGGCCCGGCAAAAAGGGGCCCCCCCCAGCCGCAGTAGTCCCTCCCCACCAGACATCAGGGGGAGACGGAAAGAAGCATAGCAGGTGAGAGGGACACTGTCAAACTTAAATTAATAAATGATATGGCTGCATCCCAAATTTTGGGCCCCCCTATTCCCCCAATATAGTGCACTAATTTTTTCCCAGGGCCCAAAAGGCTTCCGGTTTTTGGGCTCTTCCCTCCCCAAAAATTAAATGATTGGATCTCCCGCCTTTTTTCCCCCCAACAGTGAATGATAGGATCTCGTCTCTTCCCTCCCCAACATTTTTAAAGATAGGATCTCTGTTTTTTTCCCTTCCCCCAATTTTTAAAAGATTTGGGGGTTTGGTCTTTTTTTTCCCCCCTCCCAAAATTTTAAATTTATTTGGATTTTTCTGTCTCTTCCCCTCCTAACAAAATGGGTAGGATTTTCGTTTCTTCCCCCCCCAACAGTAAAGGGCCCCGCACATCATGGTGAGATGATTTTTACGGGAGGGAGGATTTTGGGGCCCTTTTTCCCCCAAACCACCTCATCGAGCAATTCCCAAAGGGTGGAAACCCGGAGGGGCCGCCTTTTAGGACCTCTTGGGGGGAAACGCCCGCCCCAAACTTTTGGGAACATGGGGGATAGAAAAATGGGTAACTTCCACTGAAAATACTGAAAAAGAGCTGGAGGGGGCCCCCCCCCACTCTCCCCTGTCCCATAGGGAGGCTTTCCCCAGACCCCGGAGTCCCTGGTGACAGACAGACAGACATGCAGGCAGACAGACAAAAGGCCCCACAGACAGACAAGAGAGGGAGACTGGCAGGGGAGACAGAAAAGGGGAGAGGGCAATCTCCCCTGTCCCCTCGCAGCTGCTTCCTCAGACCAAAGTTTTGGGCATGGTGACCCGACAGAAAAGACATTTTTTCGGCAGAAAAGACAAAAAGGCAGACCCGACCCCGGGCAAAAGAGGCCCAAAAGGCAGGGAAGACAGAAGGCAGGCCGGGCACTCTTTCCCCGTCCCTTTAGCAAACTGCTTCCTTTAGACCCCGTGGGGTCATTTGGGGACAGACAGGGCAGACATTTAAGGGGAGACAGGACAAAAAAAGGGAGACAGGGCAGACGACAAAAGAGGCCCGACTGGCAGGCAAAACAGAAAAGGCAGGCCGGGCACCTCCCCCCGTCCCTCAGCAGCTGCTTCCTTTAGGGGCCCGTGAGGTTTATGGGCAGACAGACAGGGCCCTGCAGGGAGACCCGACAAAAAGGCAGGAAAAGACAGACAAAAGAGGCCCGACTGGCAGGCAGGGCGACAGGCAGGCAGACACTTTCCCCCCCCAAACAGCCTTTTGTTCCTCAAAAATGTGAGTCTTTAGAATGAGTCCCCCCAAAGGACCCTATTCCCCTTTTTAGTTTCAAAAAAATTTTTTTTTTTAAACCCAGGGTCCCCAAACATTTAAGGAGGGTACCGTTTTTTTATTGCTAGGCGCTTTTTTTAAAAAACACAAGAATTTGTTGGGGTTTTTTTAAAAAAAAACACAAGGGGATTTAGTTGGGGATAACATCTGCAAATTTATAAGCGACCAATAAACTTTTACTTTATTTCAACTTGGTTTAATTTTAATTTTTATTTTGGGGAAATGCAGGGGAATGGGCCCCCGACAACAGAGTTCCCCCCCCAAAGGGCCCCCCTTTCAAATATAGTGTATTAATTTTTGGGCGCAGTCCCGGGTTCCCCCCAGACCCGGGGATGGGGAAAAATTGGGGGCCCCCCCCGGGCGCTCATGTCACTCAATTAGCTCATGTCAGCTAACTGTTTTTATTGGTAAGTTAGTCTAGCGCCCGCTATTAAACTTTTTTAGTAAAATGGGGAATTAGAAACCCCATTATTTTGTTATTTAGGGTTTTTACCAGTATTTTAAAATTTAAAAAAATGCAAACCCTTTGTAGATTTTTCCCGGAAAAATTTGCTTTTAAAACCGCAAACATTTTTATTCCCCCCATGGCAAAAAGTGAGCAACTGGGCCCTCATTTAAAGAGCAAAATTTTTTTCATCGTCTCTATACGTAATAGAAACGTGTCGGCCAGTTGAAATCATGAATCAGCTGGCATTATTTTTATGGATATATACTATTGAAATGTCAATCGAAAACAGATAAAACAAAACGAAATGCAGCTAGTTTGCAGTCTTTCCAGCATCAGTTTGAAGTGATTGTGTTAGCTGTGTTGTTGGCTAGCTGACAAGAGAGCACATTTTCTATGCAAGGTGAAATCGCGCATCATTAGCTTATTATTATGGAGGTATACAAATAAATGTCACTTGAAAACAGCTTAGCCGTAGTTGGCAAGCTAGCAAGCAAGGGATAAGAACGTTGTCAGCCAGTATGACAATGGAACATTTAGAACGAACGACTGGGTCGCGTCCATAGATACAGAACAAAAAGACTTAACGACTGGGTCGACCAGCCGGCTTGGGTAGCAACCTTAGATTTGTGTCGGGACTATATCTTGTGGAAGGATGAAATAATCATTGTTTGAATATGTTGGTAACCCGTTGTATAAAAGTGATAATGCCCTCGAAGCCAGTGTTTCGGGCTTAACAACACCCGTGCCAATATATCCTCCAAACACCGACTTCGAGGGCATTATCACTATAATGTAGGGAACAGGAACATATACAGTGTGTTTTCTGGTCGGTGTTAAGCTGATTGCACACACGGTGTCTGTTACAAACTATTCCCACGTCGAGGTTAGCAAAGACGGAACAGATTTTACGGAGCTCGAGTCGGGCGACTGGCCAAGCATAGAGAGAACCGAGAGAGAGAGAGGCATGAGGGTAGCGAGAGTCAGCGACATTGAGGGAGATAGTCGAGCGACTCGTCTCTCGTCTAAAAGTTCTCTATCTCGCTACGTACTCAGCTAGGCTCTCTCTCTCTCTCTCTCTCTTCTCTCTCCTCTCTCTCTCTCTCTCCTCTCTTCTCTCTTCTCTCTCTCTCTCTCTCTCCTCCTCTCTCTCTCTCTCTTTCTCTCTCTCTACATCCCAGAAAATTGAGCCTTTTGCCAGCAGTTGCAGCGTGGCTCTGTCCTCCCTCCAGTCTTCTATCGCAATGCTGAGCAGCAGCAGCAACCTGGATAGCACTAAGGTGTGTGTGTGTGTCTGTGTGTGTGTGTGTGTGTGTGTGTGTGTGTGTGTGTGTAGTCTAGCGGTTAGAGTGTCTGCCCTTGAGCAAGGCACTCCAGGGTCGTCGTCAATAATGGCTGATCCCTGGCCGTGACCCCACTCTCTGAGGGTGGGGAGTGGGATACATGTCAGCAGTTCCTGGCCATAACTAAAGCTCTCACATCATACCTTGCTACAGAGATCATATATAACTTCCACCAAACCAAAAACATCAATCTACTTATAATATAAAATGACAGGTAACCTTGATGATGAAAGTAAAGAAATGTAACTAAGAAAAATCATCATGAGAGACAGAATGATCTGTAATCTACATCGCTCTGTTGCAGGTTTCATCAAGACAACTAACCAATCACATCCTTTTATCCACGTGTCATGTAGTTTCAATAGGAACAAACATGTCTTGAACTTTACAGTAGAAACCTATGGAGGAATTCCAGGGATAATCACTTAACTCAATGTTGGACCTAAACCCTGATCTCATTAGATGTGCCTGGCTGTGTGATGGATGTTGTGGGTGTTTTCAGTATATTTTCAGGGGACAGACTGTGTGTGTGTGTGTGTCTGGTTCAGGAGGTATCGGAGGTGCTGGAGCAGCAGCGGTCTCTGATGAAGTGTGTGTTGGAGGACACCAGTCTGAACAGACTGAGGCTGGAGGGAGGAACAGTCCTGGCCCGTATCAGGAAGGACGAGGCCTGTGAGAACCACAACTACAGGTACTGCTGGGATAGGGTCTGCATAACCAGGAAACGGGTGGGTCAAATGTAGTGCACTATATAGGGAATAGGGTGCCATTTGAGACGCAGGTGTGATCGGCAACTGAGTTCGATCCAAAGATCAGAATCTTGGACGCAATTAAATCTCTGTAGAGATTATGTATAAAGACTTTATAAAGCATTCAGACAGTGGTGTGTGCATAACAATTAGCACAAGCAAATATAGCTATCACCACCATTTGTTGCCAACTGACTTTTGTCCTTGTTGTCCATCCAGGGATGCAGTGGACATGGTGAATGTCTGTATAACCAGGTAGATGAGGAGGTCCATAAACTGGTGATCCTCTCCAACAAGTCCCTGAAACAGCTGGAGAGTCTGCTGGAGGTCCGCAGGTTTGAGGAACAGACAGAGCAGGTGGGATTTTCACTTCAGTCAGACAGATGGCTTGTCTTTTGGCATTTAATTATGTTGTTCTGATTGTGCTTACACACAGTATGTTAGTCATTTCTAGTTTGCTACTACTACATGATCTACTAATGTCTAATAAGCTGCTAGTTATCTCATAATATGAGCAACAGTGGCCCTGATTCTAAAGTATTGGATGTGAGCATATTATACAAAAGCCTACATCCCATCTCATTCTGTCTCTCTCTCTCTCCAGATCAAAGTATGGTTCAGTGTGGAAGGAGCGAAGCACATCACTCCCTTGGACTCTCTCCATCTCTATCTGGCTACGCTCAAAGACATGAGGCAGAGTTTGGAACAGTTCTTTGAGGAGTCAGTTGTAAGTTTTAAACATTGTTCATTTCTTCCTGACTTGTTGTTCTCTGCTTTGAAAACTGCTTCTTAAGACTCTTATGAACTCCATTTCCCACGAGCCTCTCCTCTCTCTCCACATACAGCAGCAGCAGAAGCAGGGTTTACTGCTAGTCAGGCAGTCAGGGGAGTCTCTCCCCAGCTCGGCCCTGCTGGACTTCAAACAGCACCTGGGATCCATCCTGGGTGGAGTTGAGAGGAGGAAGCACCAGCTAGACATCCTCACCAACCTCTACGAGTTCTACGACTCTGTAAAGACTGACCCAGGATCATTTCTGATTCTTGATTTATTTATCACGCAAGAGAGATTGAGGAAAAATGATGTGATGAGATGTCTTGTGCCGCGTCCCAAACGGCGCTATGGGTCCTGGTCAAACAAAGGGAATAGGGTGCCATTTGGGACGCGGCACGCTGTAAGGGTTGATCCTCCTTACTATGACGCTGTCTTGAACCTTGACCTTTTGATAGATACAATAGATACAGATTTTAGACATTAAAATCATACACTGAGTGTACAAAACATTAAGGACACCTTCCTAATATTGAGTTGCACCTCCCCTTTTTGCCCTCAGAACAGCCTCAATTCGTCGGGGCATGGACTCTACAAGGTGTCGAAAGCGTTCCACAGGGATGCCGGCCCATGTTGATTCCAATGCTTCCCACAGTTGTGTCAAGCTGGCTGGATGTCCTTTGGGTGGTGGACCATTCTTGATACACACAGGAAACTGTTGAGCGTGAAAAACCCAGCAGCGTTGCAGTTCTTGAGCCAGTGCACCTACTACCATACCCGGTTCAAAGGCACCCTCTGAATGGCACACATACACAATCCATGTCTCAATTGTCTCGAGACTTAAAAATCCTTCTTTAACCTGTCTCCTCCCCTTAATCTACACTGATTGAAGTGGATTTAACAAGTGACGTCAATAAGGGATCGTAGCTTTCACCTGGATTCACCTGGTCAGTCTATGTCATGGAAAGAGCAGGTGTTCCTAATGTTTTGTCCACTCAGTGTACATTGTAATTCTACTCCCTCCTGTCCTGCAGGCTAACCAGTGGATGGAGCACTGTCAGGACTACTTCAGGCAGCTGAACCTGGAGGACAGTGGTGTGAGCCTCCCTCCTGCAGTACTTCAGATCCTCCAGGACTATCAGACTGAGGCCTCCAAGTTCTCCCTGGACAACTTCAGCACCCTCAATGACATGGTCCTGTCCCTGGACAGGTATACCACCTGCTGTAGGATAGGGAAGGGTAGGGGTGGGGAAGGATAGCGTGGGGTAGGATAAGGTAGGGTAGGGTGGGGAAGGATAGGGAAGAGTAGGATAGGGTAGGATAGGGTGTGGTAGGGTAGGATAGGGTGGGGTAGGATAGGGTAGGATAGGGTAGGATAGGGTTGGGTGGTTAGAAGGTAGGGGATAGGGTGGGGAGGTAGGTGGGATAGGTGATGCACATTGTAAGCGCTCGGATAGAGGTGCAAAATGATAAAGGTAGAATTAAGATGGGTGGTATGGATAGGGTGGGGTGGGGGTAGGAGAAGTGGAGGGTAGGATAGGGTGGGGTAGGGTGGGTAGGGGATAAGGATAGGGGGGCAGATTGGGTAAGTGTGGAGTAAGTAGGGTAGGGTGGGCTAGGGTGTGTAGGTGGGTAATGATAGATAGGGTGGGGTAGGGTAGGATAAAGTGGGGTAGGATAGGGTGGGGTAGGTTAGGGTAGGATAGGATAGGGTGGGGTAGGGTGGGTAGGATAGGGTAGGGTAGGGTAGGGTAGGATAGGGTGGGGTAGGTAGGGTAGAAGTAGGGTGGGGTAGGATGGGTTTGGTTAGGGTAGGGTATGGGTAGGATAGGGTGGGTGGGGTAGAGTAGGGTAGGATAGGGTGGGGTACGGTGGGGTAGGATAGGGTGGGGTAGGATAGGATAGGGTGGGGTACGGTGGGTAGGATGGGGTGGGGTAGGATAGGATAGGATAGGGTGGGGTAGGATAGGGTGTTCACTTATTCGCTGATGATACTGCGCTCTATACATCAGGTTCAAATATTTTGCAGATACAAGCAACTCTCCAAGATGATTTTTAAACACTTTACGAATATGTTTTTTTCTAGCAAATAATTTGTTTTTAAATTAAATAAAGTCCTATATCATGCTGTTTGGTACACGGCAAAGAAAAACTCCACAACTGGCAATTTCAAAATTCATGCAAGTGATAGAACAATGCTTGAAAGTGTTGGTTGTTTGAAATAGCTGGGATAGAGGATAGATTCTGAATTATCTTTTGGAAAGCATATTGATTATATTAGAAAAACTATTCATTAAAAGCTTGGGTTACTATACAGATATAAGAATTGTTTTACTGTATCCATTAGAAAGACCTTAGTAACCCAACTGCTGCTTCCTATCTAAAACACAACCAAGACCTTACTTTACGAATTAGATGTCATTTATTTAAAAAAAAACTGTAGATTTGACATTTTAGTCAACGCTCTTATCCAGAGCGACTTACAGTTAGTGAGTGCATACATTTTTCATACTGGCCCCCTGTGGGAATCGAACCCACAACCCTGGCGTTGCAAGCGCCATGCTCTACCAACTGAGCTACAGGAGATCGATTCTTGGCTGCCATTATAAGACATATCATTGCACAATGTATGAATCACTAAATTGGCTGTCACTCCTAAACAGAAGACAACTGCATTGGTACCAATTCATTTTTAAAGCTGCAATATGTAACTTTTTGGGCAACCCGACCAAATTCACATAGAAATGTGAGTTATAGATCTGTCATTCTCATTGAAAGCAAGCCTAAGAAGTGCTAGATCTGTTTGTTCTATGTGCGTTATTTCTATGCTTCCCAGATCTTAAGTTTAGTTTCTTGTGTCTTTACTTTCGGTTTTGTACACCAGCTTCAAACAGCTGAAAATACAATATTTTTGGTTATGGAAAGGATACTTCACAGTGGTTTAGATGGTACAATGATTCTCTGAACTATACTTGCTTATTTTGTCACATAAACTGAAATTAGGCAAACTATTAGAATTTTAGCAGCAGGAAATGGCACAGCGATTTCTGCATAATGCACCTTTAAATGTATCAACTTAAATTTCCTTGTATATTTATTAAGGAACACCCATCTTTACAAGACTCACACTACTCATTCCAAGGCTACGTCATGAGGTTGGAGGAAGATCTTTCAGATACAAAGCCCCAACTGACTGGAATAATTTACCTGTAGAAATCAGGGCATTAAATTCACATAGTGAATTTAAGAAAGAAAGCCCTTTTTCAAATGTTAAGATCAAACTTTTTGTGTTTGTAACTAATAGAAACATCACCATGTAAAGATATTATTAAATATCTATGTATATATTATAGGTACTTAGTTGTATTAGTTGTATTAATAGTTGTAGCAGTAGTTGTATTAGTTGTATTAGTAGTTGTAACAATAGTTTTATTAGTTGTATTAATAGTTGTAGCAGTAGTTTTATTAGTTGTATTAATAGTTGTAGCAGTAGTTGTATTAGTTGTATTAGTAGTTGTAGCAGTAGTTTTATTAGTTGTATTAGTAGTTGTAGCAGTAGTTTTATTAGTTTAATTAATAGTTGTAGCAGTAGTTTTAGTAGTTGTAGCAGTAGTTTTATTAGTTGTATTAGTAGTTGTAGCAATAGTTTTATTAGTTGTATTAGTAGTTGTAGCAGTAGTTTTATTAGTTGTATTAGTAGTTGTAGCAGTAGTGTTATTAGTTGTATTAGTAGTTGTAGCAATAGTTTTATTAGTTGTATTAGTAGTTGTAGCAGTAGTTTTATTAGTTGTAGCAGTAGTTGTATTAGTTGTATTAGTAGTTGTAGCAGTAGTTTTATTAGTTGTATTAGTAGTTGTAGCAGTAGTTTTATTAGTTTAATTAGTAGTTGTAGCAGTAGTTTTATTAGTTGTATTAGTAGTTGTAGCAGTAGTTTTATTAGTTGTATTAGTAGTTGTAGCAGTAGTTTTATTAGTTGTATTAGTAGTTGTAGCAGTAGTTTTATTAGTTTAATTAGTAGTTGTAGCAGTAGTTGTATTAGTTGTAGGCCTATTAGTTGTTGTACAATAACTTTTTTATTTTTTATGTATGTTTTTATTTATTATTATTACTTCATTATTATTATCATTAGACAGTAGTTGCCATATAATTATTATGTCATAGTTATTATTATTAGACAGTAGTTGCCATATAATTATTATGTCATAGTTATTATTATTAGACAGTAGTTGCCATATTATTATTGTTACTAAGTATTGTTTGTTTGTTAGTTGTTTTTATTTGGACACTCTTGAAAACGAGATGATGCATCTCCAGAGATTTCATCCCACAAAATTTCAAATAATAAATAAATAATTTAGGGGGCTTTTTTCGCTCTGGGGTGAAGTTTACCCTAAGTACAGATCGAGGATCAACTTTCCCTCCCCCAATCCTAACCTTTACCATTAGTGGGGGAAATTAAAAACTGACCCCAGATCAGTGTCTTGGGGCAACTTCACCCTACACCTGTTTTTTCCACTGACCTTCTCTCTCTCCCTCTGACAGCCCCCGGCAGACCCAGCAGTGGAACGTCCTGTGGACCAAGTGTCAACAGACCAAGAACCAGCTGGAGGAAACCCTGGCCCAGGCCACAGCAGCAGCTACTGCAGCCTCTAACTCTGCAGACTCTAAATCTGCAGCCTCTAACTCTGCAGCTTCTAACTCTGCAGCCTCTAAATCTGCAGCCGGAAATCTAACCACAGACCCCTCAGAGACTGCAGACAGACAGGGGGGCTGCACTCACACGGAGCAGCACGGGGCTGCTGCAGAGGACCTTGTTTTACCTGAGTTGCCCACTCTAGGGTCAAGGGTCATGGTGTCATCACTGGAGTTTGAGGAAGAGCCCAAGCGTCACTCCGCAGGGCACTTCTCCTCCAACTCCAACAACAACAAGAGCCCTTCCTCCTCCTCTTCCTGCTCCTTCACCTCCTCCTCCCTCTTCCCCTTCCCCCCCGCCCCAGAGGGAGACCCCCTCCTCAAGCTGCGGCAGAGCCCCTCTCTGTTCGACGACACGGACAGCGACTGCACCATCGACTCCCTGGGGGCCGCCTCCTGCTACTCGGAGCCTGTCTATTCGTCCTCTGGGACGCCACTCCACCATCACCACCAGCACCACCAGCACCAGCATCACCACCAGCACCGCAAACAGCCGCTCAAGAAGATCATGAAGAAGACGCTGAGCTATGAGTTGACGGCGGCGCAGGACGGTGGCGGTGGCCACGTTGACACCAGCCACCTGCATGGCTACACGGGGGTGTACATCAAGGGGCTGGAGGTGGCCAACAATGTGTCAGTGGAGAAGAAGCTGCAGAGGCCTGACGTGGTGAGCCCGGCACTGGGACGCAGCCGCAGTATGTCCTCCCCCACCAGACACTCAGAGGGAGACGGAAAGAAGCATAGCAGGTGAGAGGACACACTGTCAGCTAAATTAACTAAATGATATTGGCTGCATCCCAAATGGCACCCTATTCCCAATATAGTGCACTACTTTTGACCAGGACCCAAATGGCTTCACGGTTCTCTGTCTCTTCCCTCCTCAACATTAAATGATAGGATCTCTGCCTCTTCCCTCCTCAACAGTGAATGATAGGATCTCTGTCTCTTCCCTCCTCAACATTAAATGATAGGATCTCTGTCTCTTCCCTCCTCAACATTAAATGATAGGATCTCTGTCTCTTCCCTCCTCAACATTAAATGATAGGATCTCTGTCTCTTCCCTCCTCAACATTAAATGATAGGATCTCTGTCTCTTCCCTCCTCAACAGTAAAGTGCAGCACATCATGGATGAGATGATCTCCACGGAGAGGGAGTATGTGCGTTCCCTCAGCTACGTCATCGAGCACTACTTCCCAGAGATGGAGCGGCTGGACCTGCCTCAGGACCTCTGGGGGAAACGCAGCATCATCTTTGGCAACATGGAGAAACTGTGTAACTTCCACTGCCAGTACTTCCTGAAAGAGCTGGAGGCCTCCGCCCACTCTCCCCTGTCCATCAGCAGCTGCTTCCTCAGACACGTGAGTCATGGTGACAGACAGACAGACATGCAGGCAGACAGACAAAAAGGCAGACAGACAGACAGAGAGGCAGACTGGCAGGCAGACAGACAGGCAGGCAGACACTCTCCCCTGTCCATCAGCAGCTGCTTCCTCAGACACGTGAGTCATGGTGACAGACAGACAGACATGCAGGCAGACAGACAAAAAGGCAGACAGACAGACAGAGAGGCAAACTGGCAGGCAGACAGACAGGCAGGCAGACACTCTCCCCTGTCCATCAGCAGCTGCTTCCTCAGACACGTGAGTCATGGTGACAGACAGACAGACATGCAGGCAGACAGACAAAAAGGCAGACAGACAGACAGACAGAGAGGCAGACTGGCAGGCAGACAGACAGGCAGGCCGACACTCTCCCCTGTCCATCAGCAGCTGCTTCCTCAGACACGTGAGTCATGGTGACAGACAGACAGACATGCAGGCAGACAGACAAAAAGGCAGACAGACAGACAGAGAGGCAGACTGGCAGGCAGACAGACAGGCAGGCAGACACTCTCCCCTATCCATCAGCTGCTGCTTCCTCAGACATGTGAGTCTTAGAATGAGTCCCAAATGGCACCCTATTCCCTATATAGTGCACTACTTTTTTTTTTTACCAGGGTCACAAACATCAACGTGAGGGTACCGTTTTGTATTGCTAGGCGCTGTAGAAACACAAGCATTGTGTTGGAGGTAGAAACACAAGCATTGTACGCGACCAATAAACTTTGACTTGATTTCAACTTGGTTTACATGTAGATTCATTTGGGAAGCTGCAGGGGACTGGGACCCAGACAGACAGAGTCTCCCAAATGCCACCCTATTCAATATAGTGTATTAATTCTGACGCAGTCCCAGTTCCCCCTAGACCAGGGATGGGCAACTTGCGGCCCACGGGCGCTCATAGTCACTCAATTAGCTCATGTCAGCTAACATGTTTTATATTGGTAAGTTAGTCTAGCAGCCAGCTATCTAAACTTGTAGTAATCATGGTCGAATTAGAGCCCCATTGATTTTGTTAGTCAGTCTCACTCAGATATCATATTAAAAACTGCAACATTTGTAGATTTGCAGGAAATTAGCTTTAAAACAGCAACATTTTCTCTACACCCCATGGCAAAATGTGAGCAACTGCGGCCCCTCATGATGAGCAGATTTTTTGTGGCCCACAACCCCCATCGAAGTTGCCCATCGCTGTCCTAGACAGACAGACCTTAGCCTATAGCCTCAGGCTAGACATGGACACTGCTGGAAACACAAGACAACAAAATACACTAGAGAAACCCAATGACCTCGTCTCTCTGACAGGGTGGTTCATATACATGTTCCTCAGCTCAGTCAGACCAGATAGATTCAATTTAATTTATTATGAGAGAATTAAAGAAGTGCACTAAAATGTGTCCCAAACTACTGCAAATGAATGAGACGCAACACTCTCCATATGAAAAAAAGTGTAATTCTATTAAATATTAGGTTGAAAAGATTGAACGATTGTGATGTTTCAGTCAATGAGGCCCTTCATCAGATTTCTCAGTCAGATATCTGGTCTAGATCCTGTAGGGACTGTATGGATTGGAAGTCAGTGGTATGGAAACATAACAAGGAGAGAGAGAGAGAGAGAGAGAGAGAGTGAGTGTGTCACAGTCAATGTGCCCTGGGGCTGGGAACTGACACACTAAAACCCAATGACCTAGTTCTAGCAGAGTGATCTAATATGCCATTTAGCAGACGCTTTTATCCAAAGCGACTTACAGTCATGCGTGCATACATTTTTGTGTATGGGTGGTCCCGGGGATCGAACCCACTACCTTGGCGTTACAAGCGCCGTGCTCTACCAGCTGAGCTACAGAGGACCATCTACATATTGGACTGTCCGTCGTCACTCACTAACTTTCTCAAGAAAAAACAAACACTCTTTTTGATATTTGACCTTTGAGGTGGGCTTTGACCTTTGAGGTGGGCTTTGACCGAATGCTTTTTCTCTTGGCCACAACTACAAGTATAACACCAGTCAACGACATGATTTGGGTATGAGTTACTTTAAAATGTCCTATCCTTTTTTCCTTTAAACATGTGTTATGATTGGTGGGTACATAACTCACTCAACTATAAACATATAGAAATCTAAACCCTCATGTTGACGTTTTAGTTTAAATCAAATGGAATCCTAATGGTTGGTTGATGGAATCCAGGCCTCATGAGCTAAATGGGTCTCCGTGTTTAGGCCTAGTGTAGAAAACTGGGAGTCGCCCAAATGGCACCCTATTCCCTATAAAGTGCACTATATTCCCTAAATAGTGCACCCAATGGGCCCTAGTCAAAAGTAGTGCACTATATAGGGAATAGGGTGCCATTTGGGACGGATCCTGTGTGTGTACCTTTGGCTGTAGTCAGTGTGGTAACTTGTTATTCCTGTGTGCAGGAGGATCAGTTTGGAATGTATGCTCTCTACAGCAAGAACAAGCCGCAGTCTGACGCTCTACTCACCAGCCACGGGAACGGATTCTTTAAGGTGCGTCTAGAAACGGCTCTGGTTACCAAAGTTCTAGGTTCAGCTTAACTAACACCAGCTCTAACCTGTAACCAATATGAACCAAACTACTGCACAGCAACAAGCTAATTGTAAAGTTGTGTGAGCCAAACATCATGTAGGTACTGTTAGGTTCTGAACAAACTGAGTAAAACTAGAAAAAGCTCAAACCAAGTTTATTCACCCACTGGGTCATACAGCTGCAAAGACAAAGCATGATTACACAAGCACATATATTTATAACTTCTAAAGGCGTGGTCAACTCTTACACATCTAGACACAAACATCGTGCGAGCAGGAATTAATGGTCCTTCACTGGTAGTCCCAGCCTGCTGTACGAAACTTAGTGGGCGTGAATGACGGGGGGAAAAAGTATTTAGTAGCCACAATGTGCAGTTCTCCACTTAAAAAAATGAAGAGCCTAATTTTCAGGACACGTCAACTTACAACAAAATGAGAAAAGAATTCCAGAAAATAAGAGGATTTTAATGAATTATTGCAATAGGGAAAAGTATTGGAACCTACAAACAAGCAAGATTTGGCTCTCACAGAACCTGTAACTTTTTCTTTGGAGCTCCTCTGTCCCCCACTCGTTACGTATTAAGGCACATGTTGAACTGTTATCAGTTATAAAAGACACCTGTCCACAACCTCAAAAAAGTCACACTCCCAAACTCCACTATGGCAAGACCAAGAGCTGTCAAAGGCCACCAGAAACCCAAAATTGTTGACCTGCACCAGCTTTGCCTGTTACTGAAACCTTGGTGGGCGTGGAATGTATGTGTGAGATAACACTAGAGTAGGGGAGTCGTTGTGGTGGGCCTCTCTGGCCCCCCTCCCAGAGGTTTCTTCTCACTTCATCTGTTGATTTCACCTAGAGACGTATTCCTCACTCCTCCCTAGTTCCGCAGCCGGGCCTGCCTTATCGGAGACTAACAATTGCCTTTCACCTCTATTCTCAGAAACATGGAACAGAATATGAAGCTTCTGCTCTCCGTAACTTTCCATATTCCTAGTTCCCATCTACCCTTCCTTGATCCCAATATATACATTCCTTATACATGTAAAGTAATTAATGCGTTCTAGTATGGTAACATGAATCAGTACATTTCAAGCTAGAGTCTAACAGTAGCTACAACTGTACATCTGGTAGTTCTACATTGAGTAACATTAGAATTCCCATTGTCAAACTTTATATAGCTACTGGATATCTACCTATGTAGAATGGTGGAGTTGAATTGCCATCAGAATTGACATTTAGAAAAGCTATTGCACGTCTGCATACAGAGTCCTACATCCCCTCTCATCCTCCTCTGTGTGTGTGTCTGCTGTCCAGAACAAGCAGTTGGAGCTGGGTGATAAGATGGACCTGGCGTCCTACCTGTCTGTTGGTCTGTTTATCTTTCTATGTGTATCTTGACCCCTGACCTCTACCCTCTGACCTCTCCATCTTCCCAGAACAAGCAGTTGGAGCTGGGTGATAAGATGGACCTGGCATCCTACCTGTCTGTTGGTCTGTTTATCTTTCTGTGTGTATCCTGACCTCTGACCTCTACCCTCTGACCTCTCCGTCTCCCCAGAACAAGCAGTTGGAGCTGGGTGATAAGATGGACCTGGCGTCCTACCTGTCTGTTGGTCTGTTTATCTTTCTGTGTGTATCCTGACCTCTGACCTCTACCCTCTGACCTCTCCGTCTCCCCAGAACAAGCAGTTGGAGCTGGGTGATAAGATGGACCTGGTGTCCTACCTGTCTGTTGGTCTGTTTATCTTTCTGTGTGTATCCTGACCTCTGACCTCTACCTTCTGACCTCTCCGTCTCCCCAGAACAAGCAGTTGGAGCTGGGTGATAAGATGGACCTGGCGTCCTACCTGTTAAAGCCCATCCAGAGGATGTCTAAGTACGCCCTGCTGCTGAAGGACCTGATCAAGGAGTGTGGTCAATCCCAGGAACAGGAGCTCTCTGACCTCCGCACCGCAGAGGAGATGGTCAAGTTCCAGCTGCGCCACGGCAATGACCTGCTGGCCATGGACGCCATCCGGGGATGTGATGTAAGTCAGGGGGGGTGGAGCAGTAGAGCATGGCACCTGCAACGCCAAGTTTTGTGCGTTCAATTCCCACTGGGGCCACCCATATGAAAAATGTACAGTTGAAGTCGGAAGTTTACATACACTTAGGTTGGAGTCATTAAAACTAGTTTTTCAACCACTCCACAAATTTCTTGTTAACAAACTATAGTTTTGGCAAGTCGGTTAGGACATCTACTTTGTGCATGACACAAGTAATTTTTCCAACAATTGTTTACAGACAGATTATTTCACTTATAAATCACTGTATCACAATTCCAGTGGGTCAGAAGTTTACATACACTAAATTGACTGTGCCTTTAAACAGCTTGGAAAATTCCAGAAAAAGATGTCATGGCTTTAGAAACTTCTGATAGGCTATTTGACATCATTTGAGTCAATTGGAGGTGTACCTGTGGATGTATTTCAAGGCCTACAGTCATGGTCAAAAGTTTTGAGAATGACACAAATACTAATTTTCACAAAGTCTGCTGCCTCAGTTTTGATGATGGTAATTTGCATATACTCCAGAATGTCATGAAGAGTGATCAGATGAATTGCAATTAATTGCAAAGTCCCTCTTTGCCATGAAAATGAACTTAATCCCCAAAAAACATTTCCACTACATTTCAGCCCTGCCACAAAATGACCAGCTTCCATCATGTCAGTGATTCTCTCGTTGTGAGGTGAGAGTGTTGACGAGGACAAGGCTGGAGATCACTTTGTCATGCTGATTGAGTTAGAATAACAGACTGGAAGCTTTAAAAGGAGGGTGGTGCTTGAAATCATTGTTCTTCATCTGTTAACCATGGTTACCTGCAAGGAAACGCGTGCCGTCATCATTGCTTTACACAAAAAGGGCTTCACAGGCAAGGATATTGCTGCTAGTAAGATTGCACCTAAATCAACCATTTATCGGATCATCAAGAACTTCAAGGAGAGAGGTTCAATTGTTGTGAAGAAGGCGTCAGGGCGCCCAAGAAAGTCCAGCAAGCGCCAGGACCGTCTCCTAAAGTTGATTCAGCTGCGGGATCGGGGCACCACCAGTGCAGAGCATGCTCAGGAATGGCAGCAGGCAGGTGTGAGTGCATCTGCACGCACAGTAAGGCGAAGACTTTTGGAGGATGGCCTGGTGTCAAGAAGGGCAGCAAAGAAGCCACTTCTCTCCAGGAAAAACATCAGGGACAGACTGATATTCTGCAAAAGGTACAGGGATTGGACTTCTGAGGACTGGGGTAAACTCATTTTCTCTGATGAATCCCCTTTCCAATTGTTTGGGGAATCCGGAAAACACCTTGACCCCGGAGAAGACAAGGTGAGCGCTACCATCAGTCCTGTGTCATGCCAACAGTAAAGCATCCTGAGACCATTCATGTGTGGGGTTGCTTCTCAGCCAAGGGAGTGGGCTCACTCACATTTTTGCCTAAGAACACAGCCATGAATAAAGAATGGTACCAACACATCCTCTGAGAGCAACTTCTCCCAACCATCCAAGAACAGTTTGGTGACGACCAATGCCTTTTCCAGCATGATGAAGCACCTTGCCATAAGCCAAAAGTGATAACTAAGTGGCTTGGGGAAACAAAACATTGACATTTTGGGTCCATGGCCAGGAAACTCCCCAGACCTTAATCCCATTGAGAACTTGTGGTCGATCCTCAAGAGGCGGGTGGACAAACAAAACCCCACAAATTCTGACAAACTCCAAGCCTTGATTATGCAAGAATGGGCTTCCATCAGTCAGGATGTGGCCCAGAAGTTAATTGACAGCATGCCAGGGCGGATTGCAGAGGTCTTGAAAAAGAAGGGTCAACACTGCAAATATTGACTCTTTGCATAAACTTAATGTAATTGTCAATAAAAGCCTTAGACTCTTATGGAATGCTTGTAATTATACTTCAGTATACATTTACATTTCAGTCATTTAGCAGACGCTCTTATCCAGAGCGACTTACAGTTAGTGAGTGCATACATTTTTCATACTGCCCCCCCCGTGGGAAACGAACCCACAACCCTGGCGTTGCAAGCGCCATGCTCTACCAACTGAGCTACACGGGGCCTATACCATAGTAACATCTGACAAAAATATCTAATAACACTGAAGCAGCGAACTTTGTGAAGACCAATACTTGTGTCATTCTCAAAACTTTTGACCATGACTGTACCTTCAAACTCAGTGCCTCTTTGCTTGACATCATGGGAAAATCAAAAGAAATCAGCCAAGACCTCAGAAAAAAAATTGTAGACCTCCACAAGTCTGGTTCATCCTTGGGAGCAATTTCCAAACGCCTGAAGGTACCACGTTCATCTGTACAAACAATAGTACGCAAGTATAAACACCATGGGACCACACAGCCGTCATACCGCTCAGGAAGGAGACGCGTTCTGTCTCCTAGAGATGAATGTACTTTGGTGCGAAAAGTGCAAATAAATCCCAGAACAACAGCAAAGGACCTTGTGAAGATGCTGGAGGAAACAGGTACAAAAGTATCTATATCCACAGTAAAACGAGTCCTATATCGACATAACCTGAAAGACCGCTCAGCAAGGAAGAAGCCACTGCTCCAAAACCGCCATAGAAAAGCCAGACTACGGTTTGCAACTGCACATGGGGACAAAGATCGTACTTTTTGGAGAAATGTCCTCTGGTCTGATGAAACAAAAATAGAACTGTTTGGCCATAATGACCATCGTTATGTTTGGAGGAACAAGGGGGTAACTTGCAAGCCGAAGAACACCATCCCAACCGTGAAGCACGGGGGTGGCAGCATCATGCTGTGGGGGTGCTTTGCTGCAGGAGGGACTGTTGAACTTCAAAAAATAGATGGCATCATGAGGAAGGAAAATTATGTGGATATATTTTGAAGCAACATCTCAAGACATCAGTCAGGAAGTTAAAACTTGGTCGCAAATGGGTCTTCCAAATGGACAATGACCCCAAGCATACTTCCAAAGTCGTGGCAAAATGGCTTAAGGACAACAAAGTCATGGTATTGGAGTGGCCATCACAAAGTCTTGACCTCAATCCTATAGAAGATGTGTGGGCAGAACTGAAAAAGCGTGTGCGAGCATGGAGGCCTACAAACCTGACTCAGTTACACCAGCTCTGTCAGGAGGAATGGGCCAAAATTCACCCAAGTTATTGTGGGAAGCTTGTGGAAGGCTACCCGAAATATTTGACCCAAGTTAAACAATTTAAAGGCAATGCTACCAAATACTAATTGAGTGTATGTAAACTTCTGACCCACTGGGAATGTGATGAAAGAAATAAAAGCTGAAATAAATCATTCTCTCTACTATTATTCTGACATTTCACATTCTTAAAATAAAGTGGTGATCCTAACTGACCTAAGACATAATTTTTACTAGAATTAAATGTCAGGAATTGTGAAAAACTGAGTTTAAATGTATTTGGCTAAGGTGTATGTAAACTTCCGACTTCAACTGTATGCACGAGACAGAGAGAGATGGAGGGAGAGAGAGAGAGAGAGAGAGAGAGAGAGAGAGAGAGAAAGAGAGAGAGAGACTTGGCAATGTAAACATATGTTTCCCATGCCAATAAAGCCCTTAAATTGAAATTGAATTGAGAGAGAGAGAGAGAGAGAGAGAGAGAGGGAGAGAGAGAGATAGAGAGTTGGCAATGTAAACGTGTTTCCCATGCCAATAAAGCCCTTAAATTGAAATTGAATTGAGAGAGAGAGAGAGAGAGAGAGATGGGGTGGTCAGAGGAAATAGAAACGTTCACATCATGTATCATTATTTGTTTGGAAAAAAATGTCAGAGTAAGTAATGTGAAATGTCTCCTCTGGTCTCCTGTAGGTGAACCTGAAGGAACAGGGTCAACTGAGGTGTCAGGATGAGTTCATCGTGTGGTGCGGCCGCAGGAAGTACCTCCGTCACGTCTTCCTGTTCGAGGACCTCATCCTCTTCAGCAAAACCAAAAAGATAGAGGGAGGATACGACCTCTACATCTACAAGCAGTCCTACAAGGTGACAACGTCAACACACGCAGAGTGTTTTAATATGTACTATGAAGTTAAGAACTATGAGGTAATATGACGTTTCAGCCAGTGGGCTAACGTTATGCTATGTTGTTGTGTTCAGGCAGTGATAATTGTATCGTTTATTGTGAGGTGTGGAACCACAGTTAGCAGGGTTCTCCTCAAAGGATTCAATGGAGGCGCTGCACAAGTATGTTCAGTCTCCAAAGCACCACAGGCAGTGTATTCCAGTAAAGTTGACCGTTTCTGGCTACTCTTTCAGACGGCAGAGATAGGAATGACAGAGAGCGTGGGCGACAGTGGGCTGCGTTTCGAGATCTGGTTCCGGAGGAGGAAGTCCCAGGACACGTTCATCCTACAGGCCAGCTCTGGAGAGGTCAAGGCTGTGTGGACTGCCATCATCGGAAAGATCCTCTGGAGGCAGGCGCTACGGAACAGGGGTGAGTTGTGGTGGGGATTAGTGGGTCATATCTGGACATGAGTTTATCATCTCTGTTGTTGTGTTCTGGAACAAGTGATTCCTCTTTATCTCTTGTCTGACCTGAGGCCTGTGTTGATAACCTTCTGGACCAATCATTAAGAGGTGGCATGTCCGGTTCTAGTCCGAGTCAACATCAGTCAACCTCAGGTTCATCAAATGGAACCTCTCATTGTGGGTCTGAGTGAGGGTCATAACGTGTTTATTCTCTTAACTACAGAGGTGCGCTTGAAAGAGATGGTTTCCATGGGGATTGGCAGCAAGCCTTTCATGGACATCAAGCCTAGTGATGCTGCCATTAGTGACCGAGCCATTGACTACATAATGAAGGGGTCAGGTAAGCTGTCTCTACGATACGTTACGATACAATAACCTAATATGCGCGGAATTTCATTTTGTGAGGTCAGCATACTAAATTCACAAAATCAATACACTATAATAATCGATCTCTCGATCTCCCTCTCTCTCTCTCTCTCTCGCTCTCTCGCTCTCTCGCTCTCACTCGCTCTCTCTCCACTCTCTCTCTCTTTCTCTCTGTTTGCTGAATTTGACTTTCAACAACGTCTGCCAATCCAGCTGCTGATGAGAAAGCCTGATTAGTAAATTCTCTCCTTCCCGGGATAGGGGTGCATTGTCAAGTTCACCGAAGCAAAACAGAACATCACAACATCTCAGAGCACATTTCTTCTGTTCTTCCTTTAAACACTTTATATGTTCTGTTCCAGCTGAAATATGTGGGTCCTCTCAAAGTCTTTATCTACCCCCATACTCCACCAGGCAGGTCTTATGTACTGATACAGTGTCATGTTTGTAGAAGTGAGAGAGAGGTTGTCTGGACTTGTGTCTGTCGCAGGTGATTTGGTGCATGTCAGATATCAAAGGATGTTGAAGTTAACGCACCAGGTGGAATCAGTGCAGGCTTTTTCCATTGACATTCCAGTGCAGCAGCCTTATCCAAAGTCATCTAATTTGCTAGCATTCAGAATCAAATGACTTTTCTTTCATGGAGCAAGCTGGAATTCTCTCTCAACAATACAGAACCTAATGAATGGCTGCTAGCTACCACAAGAATTACAAAATATTTTGTTCTCATTCTACACACAATTTCTACCCGGCCTCCCTCTCTTTTTGTAATAAACATTTGTGTTGATTTTGTACACAAATAATACAAAACAAACACAATGAACTCAAGCACTAGACACAATGAAACATGAACTCAAACACTAGACACAATGAAACATGAACTCAAACACTAGACACAATGAAACATGAACTCAAACACTAGACACAATGTAACATGAACTCAAACACTAGACACAATGTAACATGAACTCAAACACTAGACACAATGAAACATGAACTCAAACACTAGACACAATGTAACATGAACTCAAACACTAGACACAATGTAACATGAACTCAAACACTAGACACAATGAAACATGAACTCAAACACTAGACACAATGTAACATGAACTCAAACGCTAGACACAATGTAACATGAACTCAAACACTAGACACAATGTAACATGAACTCAAACACTAGACACAATGAACATGAACTCAAACACTAGACACAATGTAACATGAACTCAAACACTAGACACAATGTAACATGAACTCAAACACTAGACACAATGAAACATGAACTCAAACACTAGACACAATGAAACATGAACTCAAACACTAGACACAATGAAACATGAACTCAAACACTAGACACAATGTAACATGAACTCAAACACTAGACACAATGTAACATGAACTCAAAACACTAGACACAATGTAACATGAACTCAAACACTAGACACAATGTAACATGAACTCAAACACTAGACACAATGAAACATGAACTCAAACACTAGACACAATGAAACATGAACTCAAACACTAGACACAATGAAACATGAACTCAAACACTAGACACAATGTAACATGAACTCAAACACTAGACACAATGTAACATGAACTCAAACACTAGACACAATGTAACATGAACTCAAACACTAGACACAATGAAACATGAACTCAAACACTAGACACAATGAAACATGAACTCAAACACTAGACACAATGTAACATGAACTCAAACACTAGACACAATGTAACATGAACTCAAACACTAGACACAATGTAACATGAACTCAAACACTAGACACAATGTAACATGAACTCAAACACTAGACACAATGTAACATGAACAGCTCAGATTAGACTAACTAGAGGAAGAATAGGAACATCCTCTGCATTAACCCATGCTAGACTGACTGTCTGGCTAGTGTATTGTTCCTCTCCTCTAACGTTACCTTACTGACAATGTTGTGTGAATACTCTTCAGAACTGTATTCTGTTGTTGTCCCAGAGTAGCCTGATCCAACCAGTGTTCTGTGGTTGTCCCAGAGTAGCCTGATACCACCAGTGTTCTGTGGTTGTCCCAGAGTAGCCTGATACCACCAGTGTTCTGTGGTTGTCCCAGAGTAGCCTGATACCACCTGTGTTCTGTGGTTGTCCCAGAGTAGCCTGATACCACCTGTGGTATGTGGTTGTCCCAGAGTAGCCTGATACCACCAGTGTTCTGTGGTTGTCCCAGAGTAGCCTGATACCACCTGTGTTCTGTGGTTGTCCCAGAGTAGCCTGATACCACCTGTGTTCTGTGGTTGTCCCAGAGTAGCCTGATACCACCTGTGTTCTGTGGTTGTCCCAGAGTAGCCTGATACCACCTGTGGTATGTGGTTGTCCCAGAGTAGCCTGATACCACCAGTGTTCTGTGGTTGTCCCAGAGTAGCCTGATACCATCTGTGTTCTGTGGCTGTCCCAGAGTAGCCTGATACCACCTGTGTTATGTGGTTGTCCCAGAGTAGCCTGATACCACCAGTGTTCTGTGGTTGTCCCAGAGTAGCCTGATACCACCTGTGTTCTGTGGCTGTCCCGGAGTAGCCTGATACCACCAGTGTTCTGTGGCTGTCCCAGAGTAGCCTGATACCATCTGTGTTCTGTGGCTGTCCCAGAGTAGCCTGATACCACCTGTGTTCTGTGGTTGTCCCAGAGTAGCCTGATACCACCTGTGTTCTGTGGCTGTCCCAGAGTAGCCTGATACCACCTGTGTTCTGTGGCTGTCCCAGAGTAGCCTGATACCACCAGTGTTCTGTGGTTGTCCCAGAGTAGCCTGATACCATCTGTGTTCTGTGGCTGTCCCAGAGTAGCCTGATACCACCTGTGTTCTGTGGTTGTCCCAGAGTAGCCTGATACCACCAGTGTTCTGTGGTTGTCCCAGAGTAGCCTGATACCACCTGTGTTCTGTGGCTGTCCCGGAGTAGCCTGATACCACCAGTGTTCTGTGGCTGTCCCAGAGTAGCCTGATACCATCTGTGTTCTGTGGCTGTCCCAGAGTAGCCTGATACCACCTGTGTTCTGTGGTTGTCCCAGAGTAGCCTGATACCACCTGTGTTCTGTGGCTGTCCCAGAGTAGCCTGATACCACCTGTGTTCTGTGGCTGTCCCAGAGTAGCCTGATACCACCAGTGTTCTGTGGCTGTCCCAGAGTAGCCTGATACCACCTGTGTTCTGTGGTTGTCCCAGAGTAGCCTGATACCACCAGTGTTCTGTGGCTGTCCCAGAGTAGCCTGATACCACCTGTGTTCTGTGGTTGTCCCAGAGTAGCATCTTACTCCCTTCCATGGAGCCATGATCCATAGGTAGAAATGTGTACAGTAAAATGTTCATGTTCTATACACAATCCTTCCCTCTCTCCCTCCAGAGTCGAGGACCAGGGCATCCATCGCGGTGTCCTCCTTCGACCACTCCACACCCTTTAAGCGGCCTCACTCCACCATCTCCAACAGTAGCACCTCCTCTTCCTCCTCCCAGTCCTCCTCCTCACTGCTGGGCTCCCTCAACCTGCACCTGTACCCCTCGCCTGCCCACCAGCACCCCCACGCCCTGGGCAGCGTACCCTCCTTCAGCCACTGGCCCTACGACTGCATTGAGGAGGACGAGCTGGAGCAGGACACTGGCAGCCAGCCTTCTATGAGTGAGTGACAGGCAGGCAGCCCCTAACAGGTATCCATGTCTGAGACCCAAATGACACCCTATTCTCTATTTAGTGCACTACTTTTGACCAGAACCCTGTAAGTCCTGGTCAACCGTAGTGCACTATATAGGGGATAGGGTGCCATTTGGTACGCATCCCATGTCCTCAGCCTAAAGTGTCTTACTGTCCCTAACACATTACTAAGGGTGTCTTGTTCCTCTCTGTCCCCCTGAAAGTGTCCCTAAACTAAATGACTACCTTATCTTCTCTGTGTTGTCCAACAGTCACAGAGAGCTCGGGGGAGACATCGTCCCAGTGTATCTCCAGTGACAGTGTGACGGGGCTGAGCAGCCTCGCCCTCCCCATCCCAGGCCACGGCCGCCCCAACATCATCATCAGCACCTTCCCCAGCGACTCCACTTCCTCCTTCCTGTGTTCGTCCACGCCTCTCGGCTCCTCCCACCCTCAGATGGCCCCTCCCCCAGCCCCGTTCCCTAAGGACCAGGACCTCCAAGCCCAGGGCAGCATCTTCATCACAGCAGTGAGTAGAATGGTTGTTTTTACACATAATAGTGACCTAGTGTAGACACATTTAAAGTAGCTAATAATGAAATCATTTCAAATACTTAATCTGTGCTTGATTGAGCATACTGAATCTGTGCTTGATTGATTTTGCCTGCCTTAATGGATCAATAGAATAGTCCCAAGCACTTCAGGCAGGCTAGAGCAAACGCTCAGTCATTAAAAGATTTCAAATAGTATTTGAACCCAGGTCTGGTCGGTAGCTAATAGCTCTGTTCTTGCGCTGATTGCTGAATACTCTCAGTTGAAGTGAAGTATCTTCTGAAGGTTTTTATACACTGGGGCATGAATGATTCTGTTTATTCAGAGGTTTGCTAACCCACCCACTATCTGTCATCCAACATCATCCTGACCAATCAATCATGTCATTCCAGTGGAGTGAACAGTGAACATTGCAGCCATTGGCTCTCCCTGGTTTCTCTCTCACAACCATTTTGTGTGTTGTTTTGTTTTTGCCAGAGCAAGACCTCTCATATTACAACAGGCCTCTCTACAGTGGTCTGACTCACAGAGAGAGAGGGCTTTTTAGCTCAGTAAGTCATTGGGTCTGGCCAGAGTGAGCGTGGTCTGTGTCGTGTTCTGTTTGGTTCACAGCCTTGTTGACAACTGTGGGGATCTCCCTCCGTCTGTTCCCTGAATACTAATCTGTGTGCAAACATGCTTGTGTGTGTGTGTGTGTGTGTGTGTGTGTGTGTGTGTGTGTGTGTGTGTGTGTGTGTGTGTGTGTGTGTGTGTGTGTGTGTCTGTGTCTGTGTGTGTGTGTGCATGGATGCATGACAGTGTCCTGCTGGGGTTAAATGGCTGGTGTGTCGGGACTAGTTAACACTCTGGGTCCTAGTGATAGATGATTTGTTGTGTCAAGCTTTTGGGTTCTCTGGTCCGTCTCACGTCTCACGTCTCACGTCTCACGTCTCACGTCTCATGTCTCACGTCTCACGTCTCACGTCTCATGCGCCTCTGTGTCCTTCTGGCATGCGTGGTATAGCATGTTACATAGCTATATGTTTGTTCTGCTTTTGTTGGAGTTGTTGATGCACCTTCAAATGTTAAAAGGTTCACTTGCTGTTCATACAGTACCTTAGCTCAGCAGCTAGGAGGCAGCAGATCCTTTGTGATGGGTGCAGAAATCTGTTGTAATATACGGTTATGACATTGTAATCATCTACCCTTATGTTCATAAGATGTAGATGGAGCCTGATCAGTAGATTTACTGTCTAAATGTTAGACAATAATGTCAAATAAACCTTTCTCTAGCTCAGTAGTACCAGACAGTTGGGGTGGACGTTTGGCAATGTTTGATAGTTTGTAAATACTTTTTGTTAACCCTGTCAATGTGTCTTCTTCTTCTTCTAGCTGTGAGGCCACTGCACTGAGAACTGGTGTTACGGAGGATCAGTAAGGACTTGTGAGTGAGGAAGCTATACTGTTAAGCATGCACAGTGGACTCTACTGTGTCTCTACTGGACTACTGGACTCTACTGTGTCTCTACTGGACTACTGGTCTCTACTGGATTCTACTTGTCTCTACTGGACTCTACTGGTCTCTACTGGACTCTACTGGTCTCTACTGGACTCTACTGTGTCTCTACTGGACTCTACTGGTCTCTACTGGACTCTACTGGTCTCTACTGGACTCTACTGGACTCTACTGGACTCTACTGTGTCTCTACTGACCACTCTGACAGCAACAGACACACAACAGACCACTCTGACGACAACAGACACACAACAGACCACTCTGACAGCAACAGACACACAACAGACCACTCTGACAACAACAGACAAACAACAGACCACTCGGACAACAACAGACACACAACAGACCACTCTGACAACAACAGACACACAACAGACCACTCTGACAACAACAGACACACAACAGACCACTCTGACAGCAACAGACACACAACAGACCACTCTGACAACAACAGACACACAACAGACCACTCTGACAACAACAGACACACAACAGACCACTCTGACAACAACAGACACACAACAGACCACTCTGACAACAACAGACCACACGACAGACACTCACAGCAGAGACTGATGGCCTTCGGCATTTCATAACGATGTATTGAAAATGTGACATTGCTATGTATGCAGTACATAAAGAAATAGTTTCACAAATGCTGGTACGTCATGTTCTGACTGTATATGTGTTTTAATGAACTAGATATGTATCACTGTTTATAATGTAGATGAGTTGTTGTTTTATTATGTCTTATTCAAGGAAGCAAACACATGGAAAGTACCCAGCAGACAGCCAGACAGACGCTTGTGGTGATTCACTACCAGCTATTCTGTTGATTAAAGCCTCCATCACACCGACAGCGTCATTTGCATTTTGGTACACCAGAAGTACATTAATTTCCAATGGAACGCTGGGTTTGCCTTGCAGCATTGCTTTGCAGAGGCAGTTGCAGTGCGTTCTGTGTGGTGCGTATGTTGGCTTTATCGAACGTATGCGTCAAACTGTATGCGTAGACGCCTTGACAGAAATGGTAGCAGAAGGTGAATGTTGAACTTTTGTTGCACACATATCCAGATGATGCTGCGTAACATTTTGCGCAATGACGCTGTCGGTGTGATCGAGGCGACAGAACAAGCAACATCTCCCTGTCTCTCTGGCTTTTCTTATCATTACCAGTACTATGTGTCTCTCTGTACAGAGTATTAAACATCATATTAAAAAGCACTTTGATTTTTAGCACCACAACTACATTTGACATGATATTACTTCAGCTTTTTCCCAATGCATAATATGAAAATTATTTTTACTCAACCAACAATTACACTGTTTCAAGCAAGCAAGGCGAAGCACTCTCTCCGGATAATAGAGTATCCATGTGAATGTATCAGTTGGAAACAACAAAATCGGGGCTTTGTTTCTAAATGTCTCTGTTTCAAACTGTCAACAGGTAGACCTGAGCTATGTACTGATGCTGACACCCTTTACAGTTAGCACCTAAACTACTCATAGAAATATACCCACTCTTATCATTAACCACGAACAGACCCCTGCACACACACACTGAGATAGATAGGATCACACAGGAAGAACTAATACTGGTTAAAATAGGGAACAAAGGACCGAGGAAGAAATGGTAATGAAGAATGTTTGCCTCGACGCCTCAGAGAACACAACATGGCCGCGTTCCAAATGGCACCCTGTTCCCTACATATTTTTTGTGCACTACCCTGCCCTGGTCAAAAGCAATGCACTAAATAGGGTGCCATTTGGGACGGGTTCTAGTTTTGACCACAAGACTGTTGTTCTCAGTCTGAGTGGAGCATGTAGCTACACAGTGTGTGTTTGTGTGTGGCTACGCAGCAGAGTCAGACCACAACCACACAGACAGGACTCGCAGCAGGCAGGCAGGCAGGCAGGCAGGCAGGCAGGCAGGGAGGCAATCACTGAGGTTGAGACAGTACTCTAAAAACCCACAGATAGGCGTAGGGGCATCTAAAAATGAAGTCCCTTTTTGAGGACTCACCATTAGCGTACATAGGCTGGATAGTGGGTAAAGAAATCTAAGGCTGCTGTACTTTCTCATACATTGGGGCACATACTGATGGTCTAAACTAAACAGTTGCTGGGTTTTTAGAGTACTCTCTGTCTTGGAAATACGGATGATGGTTAATTTACAATCAAGTAGAGACTACATTATAATAATAACTCCCTTCACTACGGCACTGCCCTTTGACACAACATATCTTCCCCCATTGACATACTCTCTCAATATCAAAAACGTTTTAAAAAATCCCTTTATATTTGGATGTGGTCGTCCATGTATAGTTGGCAGACAGATAACAGCTCACAGGGAATGGCTGCGTTTCGTTCCCCGGATCCAGAAGGAGAGGACAGCAGAGAGGGTCACCTCCAAAACCAACACACAGAGCATCAGCATCTCCAGCTGTTACAGAAACACAACGGCTCATAGTCAAACAAATAGAAGAAGAAAACATGTCAGACAATCAAACATGCGTCCCAAATGGTGCCCTATTCCAGTATGGGAACTTTGAAAAAAAAAAAAACAAACTTTTATAACTAATAACCTTCATATGATGGTCAACATTGGGATTCCAGGAAGTTATGGCCAAGTCAACGCATATCAACACTCCTCCAACTACTGCTACGACCATGCAGCCAATGTTGACACACAGGCAGACCTACAGGTTCATAAGACAGAGCGTTACACGGATCCTCCACTAACGGCTACTGTGGGTTAAAATGAAATGAAACTCATCAAAGCCTCCCAAGGATTCAATCAAGGTTTGTATTAAATCTAGTCTAATATAAACATGAATATCAGAACAGTCAATGTATTAACACATTTTTGAATCTTTAATCAATTAAAACCTTTAACTTTTAATTTGTGATTTTGTCTGTATTCCTATGGTACAGTATACTGTGTAAGGTTTTTCTAATCTAAACTAATCTATTGTAATCTAATCTACCCAGGGGGCAAACACTGGTTCCAATGCAGTGGTTATGACGTTAATCTGGTTATAGTTCAATCTGTGTTGTAGTTCAATCTGTGTTGTAGTTCAATCTGTGTTGTAGTTCAATCTGTGTTGCCCGCTGGGTATTTTCTGCATTGCGATCATTTGACTCACAGGTACAACTATTGACTCACAGGTAAAACTATTGACTCACAGGTAATAGTCTGGGGAATTTGAACAACAGGTTGGATAACAACCCAGCGATGAAGAACTGAGGAGAGAGAGGAGAGAGAGAGAGAGAAAAGATTACATTTAAAGTTCTTCACGTTGACAGTAATTATCAATAGGTTTTATAAGCGGTGATTAATCATTATTTTACCATTGCTTTATTAACAGAATTTTGGGTGAACAGAGTTTTTTACTAATTGATTTTACTTAATTGCTGAAATTAAAATTTAGTGATAGTTACATGATCAGTATATTATACACTGAAATAAGAATATGAGTTTCAGAATTTAATGTAAAACATGTTCACCCTTAAATATCAACCCTTCAGTCAGTGCTATTGAATTGTGGGTAAAAACAATATATGCATCCAACAAGCTGTGAATTTGACCCCAGAGTAGTACTCTTGAAAACCTTCATCAGAAGACTTGCAGTATTTCCAAAGTGGTCCTCGACATTAAAACTAATCACATGTAATGACTAAAAGACAACCCTGCCACTACTTACTAATAGTCCAGTGAAGGGTGCGACTCTGAACATGGTTAAAAGGGACAGGCTTGCCTCCCGAGTTGCAGCAAACACAACTCCTACTGCAACACTTAGTAGACCGCACATCATCTGCAAAGACTGGGGCAAACACAAACCCTCACAAATAAACCATTGAAAATTATCATCCATAAATGTATTTTCTATTAAATGCATTTGTGTGCTACTAGAAGCAAGACCACTCTAACTAAACATACACACATTTTGCTTTGTTTTATCTCTATCCTGAATTATATAGCTAACTGTTACACAGTCCTGTCATGTATTTATATAGTTAACTGGTACACAGTCCTGTCATATATTTATATAGTTAACTGGTACACAGTCCTGTCATATATTTATATAGTTAACTGGTACACAGTCCTGTCATATATTTATATAGTTAACTGGTACACAGTCCTGTCATATATTTATATAGTTAACTGGTACACAGTCCTGTCATGTATTTAGATAGTTAACTGTTACACAGTCCTGTCATATATTTATATAGCTAACTGGTACACAGTCCTGTCATATATTTATATAGTTAACTGGTACACAGTCCTGTCATATATTTATATAGTTAACTGGTACACAGTCCTGTCATATATTTATATACAGTACCAGTCAAAAGTTTGGACACACCTACTCATTTCAGGGTTTTTCCTTATTTTTACTATTTTCTACATTGTAGAATAATAGTGAAGACATCAAAACTATGAAATAACACATATGGAATCATGTAGTAACCAAAAAAGTGTTAAACAAATCAAAATATATTTTATGTTTGAGATTCTTCAAATAGCCACCCTTTGCCTTGATGACAGCTTTGCACACTCTTGGCATTCTCTCAACCAGCTTCATGAGGTAGTCACCTGGAATGCATTTCAATTAACAGGTGTGCCTTGTTAAAAGTTAATTTGTGAAATGTATTTCCTTTTTTAATACCGTTTGAGCCAATCAGTTGTGTTGTGACAAGGTATGGGCGGTATACAGAAGATAGCCCTATTTGGTAAAACACCAAGTCCATATTATGGCAAGAACAGCTCAAATAAGCAAAGAGAAACGACAGTCCATCATTACTTTAAGACGTATTATACACTGTGAGGTTTAAATACCTTATCATGTAAGTCATGTATTATACACTGTGAGGTTTAAATACATGTATATATATGACAGGACTGTGTACCAGTTAACTATATAAATATATGACAGGACTGTGTACCAGTTAACTATATAAAGATATGTTACACAGTGCTGTCATATATTTATTTAGTTAACTGGTACACAGTCCTGTCATATATTTATATAGTTAACTGGTACACATTTACATTTGGGTCTGGTAGTTATTTATGAATTGACATTTAATGATGAAGGATGCTCTGAAATAGGGAAGAGAATTTCAGTGAAAATGTTTCATGTAAACAGTGTCATTACATCTCTTTCCTGCTCACAGTGTATAATACATTACTTACATGATAAGGTATTTAAACCTCACAGTGTATAATACATGACTTACATGATAAGGTATTTAAACTTCACAGTGTATAATACATGACTTACATGATAAGGTATTTAAACCTCACAGTGTATAATACATGACTTACATGATAAGGTATTTAAACTTCACAGTGTATAATACATGACTTACATGATAAGGTATTTAAACCTCATAGTGTATAATACATGACTTACATGATAATGTATTTACATTTCACAGTGTATAATACATGACTTACATGATAAGGTATTTAAACCTCACAGTGTATAATACATGACTTACATGATAAGGTATTTAAACCTCACAGTGTATAATACATGACTTACATGATAAGGTATTTAAACCTCATAGTGTATAATACATGACTTACATG